AAGCCCTCCAACCATCTTTAAAAAGGCTAGAAAAAGCAGAGTGAAAATAAAAATATGTGTTTCAAAAACTGACTAGAATATAGATAAGGGAGGATTCCAAGGGTGTAACTCCTTAGAACAACTAACTTATAGTTCAAAGAATGAATACCAGGAAGCTGAAATTTGCCAGAAGGAAGGGAATTCAAGTTGAGATAGATGAATGGAGAGGTGAAGGGTGGGCAAATAAGGTCATAATATTCAATGCACATCTGTGAAAATGGAGCCGGGTACTTAGAGGGGCTAGATGGAGTCGGGACAGAATGGAGAAGGACATTGATTCTGATGCACTGTATTCGTAAATTGGCATGTTGAACTGAAATCTCTTTGTACAACTACTTAAGAATAATTAAAAAAATAAGAAAAATGTATAAAATACAAAAGACAATAGAAATGTATGTTTCAAATTACTGAGGTTCATCGTTTTCAGCCTGCAAATGAGTTAATGTGTATATAATGATGGAACTTAGTTGAAAGGCTATTGGATAAGAAGGAAGTGAAATATCAGAAAAGAAGTACTTGTTTTAGAAACATTTTATTTGAACGATTCCCATCAGAAATGGATTAAGTGGAAGCTAAAGTTTCTTTTCTGTGTTTGGGTCTCATAAGTGAGTTTTTAAATATTTTCAATTTACTCTTTTATGTCCTGTTATCCTAGGTAGGATGTTACTTTGAATCTTTTTTTTCTGTGTTTATTTTTCCCCCAAAGACAAACTGGAGAATGTTTCTTTGAGTCCCTCCTCTTACTGTTTTAAAAAGAATCCTCTTTTATCCACCCACTGCAGGCTCCATGAAAGATCAAAACTGGAAAGCTTGACTTTGTCAATAAAGCGTGAATAGGAACTCCAGAAATGCAACTTAAAAGTGTCAAAGAATCCAAAGTTAGGCTCCAGTATTAGAGAAGGCAACCTTTACCACTATCTTTATCAACTAGCACCATCATCACCATCATTGTCGTCATCATCATCATCATCATCATTTTTATTTTAGACAAGGTCTCATTATGTAGCTCAGGCTAGTCTCAAACTCAAGATCTCCCTGCCTCATTCTTTTGAGTGCTGGGAGTATAGGTGTGCACCACCACACTTAAAATATGATCCTTCGTTAGCTATGTAGTGGCACCTAGCACTCATTGAGTAAAACTGTTAGAATGAAGGGTTTTGGGGTACATGATATTCTGTTTGATATGGTCTCTCATTTTCCTTACTTGTAAAATAGACTTGGTAAGCTTTCATAAGGCAGGCTTAATGAACTGAGACCAAAAACATAAGGATTGCATGGAGCTAAATGTTTTGTAATATACAGTTCAGTTATCAAGAATTTCCACATGGAAAAATATGTAAAGAAATATTGTAGGAGAGGGAGAAGATTAGGGGTATTTTCTATGCTTGCAGATTTGGCTTTAAAAACCCAGTTTCTTTCACCCCGGAAGATTCAAAACTGAATCTCATTCAACTTCACAGTTTTAGAATCTGGTCAGTTTATGCTTCCTAATCAATATTGTATACTTTTCCAAATTTCACTCAGTCATTACTGTACTTTATTTGTTTGAGACTTGTTGACTTTTCTGGGTTTGATAAATCACTTCTGACCCTGGAAAACTCAGCAAGTTAATAGGACTTTTACTGAATGTCATAAAAGTAGTTGAGCTACTGACTGAAAGATGATTAAAATGGTTTTACTTTAAATAAACCACTGATTTTATTTTACCTTTATAAAGATTTTCTTCTGGAAACCTTGATGAATTTGCTAATTGTAGGTCTTGGTATAGTAACAGCAATTAGTTCAGTAAGGTTTTACTGATATCTTTAAAGACAATTAAGCCCCAAGGTTCTTCAGACTATGAAGATTTGTACCTTTCTACTTACGAAGTCATTTCATTTAAGTAGAATCTCCTGTCTCCATTGGGTAATGGCAGAAATTCAGAATCATTAGCTAAATTAATTGTTTCATGGGCTTTGTCTTTAGAACGTTATAAACTGTAATGGAATTACTGAGCAGAGAGCAATTAATTGGATATACTTCAAATATATTCCAACCAAATGCTATACCTGGCATTCTTTATGGCCACTTAAAATCTACCAAAAGAAAACTGTTGATGAATCCCAGTACCATTTCAAAACAAACCACCTAGAACAAGGAAAACTGCCTCAGGTCTGGAGAGTTCATATTACCTTGCACAATCTGAACTCATTCCAGAGCCTACCTCTAAAGATCCTTCCAAGTGCGCCTGAGAACTTGTAAAACTTTTTCCTTGGTTGTAAAGCCCCAGACATTCTAGAAGGTAGACTAGAAGACATACTCCAATGTTTAGGGCAACAGGAATTGGACACTAGATCCCTATGCCAGGCCTGGATGTACTCAGGGAAGTGGATATGGCAGAAGGACTCAGAATCAGAAAAAGAGTAAAAGGGAAGAGATGGGAGGAACTTGAAAGCAAATTCTCTCTTGAAGGGCTCAGCTACTGCTTAGCTCCCCTGGTTGTTGTCATACAGGGAATAAGTCCAGTAGAGCCAGAGATTGTGGTTTCCAAGTGAATTTTGACACCTGTAATTTGCTTGAAATATTCATACATTAAAATGTCAGCAACTAATAGTCAAGTTGTAAGCCCTGTGGCTCAGAGAAAACACATCCGTGGGATGCTGAAACATTGCCTCTAGGTTAGATTCTAACACTTCCTGGATGGACTTAAGTGTTATTAAAAATAAAGGATGTTGAAGTGCGGTCCTTCATCAATATTTATGCTCAGAGAAAGTTTTTCTTTTAAAAAAGACACTAGAATATCTCATTAATCAACAGTTAGTAGGTACCCATTAGGTGGCAGCAACATATTCATTATCATGAATATTTAAAAAGATGGATGTATTTGCTTCCTTTCTATTTGGTTTATAAATAGGTCAGTTGAGAAGGAATTCCTGGTGGAGTTGTAAATTATTGGTAATGGAATATTAAGAAAAGCTTCAGGTCGTATTTAAAAGATGGCTGACTCCCTGAAAGCTGAGGAGAGAACACATTTCTGTTCAGTTTCCCCACCAGAATCATGTGGAGTTTATCCACCAAAAATGGTAACGATGGGAGGTCATAAATAATGAGTTTGATTATGTCATCAATCCAGATTTTAGCCCTCAAATGGAAATGCTATGTTTGACAAAGTTGAAATAAAAGCTTTGGTTAGATAGATGGTAGGAGAAACCCAAAGGAATACGCAGATGCTATAAAACAACTTGCAGTTCCCCGAGGGAACACAGAATGCCACTTAGCCCTCTAGACAACACGGGACATCTGCTTAGTGGATCAAGAAAGGACAAAGAAGAACCATCCATTTCTATTTTTGGCATTGGTTGCTCTTAAAGGAACAGAGTGTCACCTTTTGGTATTCAGGTCATTCCATGTTAAAAAGGAAAAAAATAAAAAAAGATAGCTCACACTTCAAAGGCACTCTGTGCATAATTTTTGACATCTATAAACCCCTTGCAGATTTTTAAAGCCACAAAAGCAGGGAACATTATTCTCCCTCTTCCTAAGTTTCAGAACTAATGACAAATTACAGTGGTCAGCCACCAGTCAGATGCCCACTGGAACATTCTTATTTGCTGTACATCCTTGCTTTTTCTGAAAGCCATCATGTTTATTTCCAAGCAATGTTCCCTCTATCCACTTTAGCTTTGCATTCAATTTAAATGAAAAAACAGCTCTGGGCTGCTTCATTATTTAAATTGCAGTTTGCATACTCTCCTTTGGAAATTGAGGCATCCATATATATGTAATTCTGCAGACAGGCAAAAACTGAATAAGTTGCATGCTAAAATCCAGAGGCCAGCTCTCAAGTGTGAATTATATAAAACCCAATGTCCTTGCTTATATCCCCTATCACTAGTCCTGTGAGTGAGACGCTAATTTTAAACTTGACTCCAAAACTTACAGCCATACTTTCAAAAAATGTTGAATAAAGAATTTGAAAATACACTTTATGGATTAAAAATATACTTATGCCTCTCTTACAGTTTGATGCACACTACTTTTTTTCTTTCTACTTACTCTATCCATATTAAACATCAAACCAATCTTCAAATACAATTAAAAATAAAAAGAGCCTGCACCTCATCTGAGGAAATCATTTGAGAATTAGCTTATAAACTTTTAAGTAAATATATTGGGTAGCATGCAAGTGTACACAAGTGTATTCACTGAAATATGGTAGATTCAAGGGAGATCGCAAATAGTGTAATTCCTTAGAAAGGCAAAGTGCAGCAAAATAAACACCAGGAAGTAGGTACTCAAAAGGGGTGGGCGGGGCCAAAAGAGGTGGACAAATGAAGAGAAGACATGCTGTCAAGAATCCAAGGTATATCCACCAAAACGAATAGTTAGGGCAGGAATTTGCGAGAATATTGAAAGGAGCAACACAGATCAAGGTATATTGTACTCCTTAACTGATTTGTCAAATACCAACTCTTGTGTAGAACTACTTAAAGACAGTTAAAAAAAAATCTAGTACTTGGCTTTCAAAGAATTAGATGAATTCATATTATGAAATCGAATTTATCATTCTTGGGAAGTGACTTCAGTAAGTATCTTATTCTTACAGATCTTTACTGCAAATAACAATATCTCAGTTTCCTTGCATTGAATTACAGTTATATTTTCCCTACCTGTGTGTGTGTGTGTGTGTGTGTGTGTGTGTGTGTGTGTGTGTGTATGTGCACATACTCTTTTCAAAGTCTGGAGACTGACGCATAAAGCACGGGGTCCTAGATTCTAAAACAGAATAGGAGGATTGCCTACAAAGTCTTGCTGTTTTTTTCACGTGGAGCCCTGCACCAGACATGTGTCCTTCGTGGGTATTACAGTCATCTGGAATCGAAGGCAGTGGGTTTGGAAGGACAGCCAGCCTGCGCGCCGCCCTGGCTGCCTGCAGGCCTGGCACGCTCTCGGTCCCAGCCCCGCTCCAGCGCCCACCGTACCTTCCGCAGCGGCTTCAGCTTGGTCTCCATTATGAAGTCGTACTTGCAGAGTTCACAGCAGCGCGTGTCGGAGCTCTTGATCCACTGGTGGAGGCAGGACTGGTGCACAAAGCGCAGGGTCCCCGTGCAGCGGCAGGGGGTGATGAGGGGGCTCTCTTCATCCCCTTCGCAGTGACAGATCCTGGGAGAGGACACAGCCCGTCAGGGTGAGAGGCCCCGGAGAACACGGCTCACCAATAGACTTACACCCCTGTTTGCTTATTCCAGGCTAGAGAAATAGCAATCAAAATGTAGAACACTTGGACATTTCATTGGGTTTTGCTATATAACCCACTCTACCACCGAGATTAATTTATTTTCATCAGTTAGGGCTAGACTCAAGGCATTAGTCACTAGCTCTTCCAAAATATGCTGCCATTTCATTCTTACACTGAAGGGAATTCTAAGAGCAATATTGAGCTAGGCTCCCTAGTTGGATCACACTGGTTGTTAGATATAGAAGTTATGTGGCCGAGCTATTTGAAGGAATACTGTACACAGATAACTTTTTATTTTGAAGGCAATTCTATAGGGTTATTGTGTATAGTTCATTAGGCATAGTATCTTATTTTTACAGAATTCTGAGGATTCGGAGGTCTAACCAAATAATAAAGTGGATACCAGCCGAGTGCCGATGTTTCACACCTGGAATCCTAGTTATTCAGTAGGCTGAGATCTGAGGATTGTGGACTGAAATCAGACCTGACAGCCAAATCTGAGAAACTAATTAACTAACTAGTTAATTAACCGATTAACTACCAAAAAAGCTAAAAGCGGAGCTGTGGTTCAAGTGGTAGAATGTCAGCTTTGAGTGAAAAAGCCAAGTTAGAGCACCAAGGCCTGAGTTCAAGACACACTACTAGTACAAAAAGAAAAAAAAGTTAATACCAAACCTCAGACTAAAAATAATTACAAATATTTTCCTAAAAGATGCACATCTACTATGTCACAATGAGCACCTACTACCTTATGATGAGCTATCTGTAGATATCATTGTATAATACTCACAAAAAAATTACTAGAGACATGACATTTGAATTCAGTAAATCCTTTCATTTGAAAGTGTTAATTATCACCTCAGAAAATAAATTGAGTGTTCAACTAGTCTCCCAATTATTATGAAATCCATTTCATAGATTATGGTCCGTGAAATCTTTATTGCTCTCATATTCAGATTTTTAAGGATAATTTATTTTCTTTTGTGATGATGTAAGCCTTTCATAACTCCAGGTAGTGAATTAAAATCTCAGCTTTGCAATAAGTCTAATAATTTAATCAGCAGTTAGGAGTTGCTAATTAATTCAGCCAGATATATTGAGTTTTGAATGCAACATTAAAAATAGTTTAAATTGGCAAAATTGCTTTGAGTTGGGTATAGTGGCAGGCTGAAAGAGTGTACAGATTTCGGCTACTTCCCTCCTCCTTTGTTCAGTCCAGGGGCTTGAACTCAGGGCCTGGACACTGTTCCTGAGCCTTTCTGTGCTCAACCTAGAACTCTACCACTTGAGCCACAGCGCCACTTCCGGCTTTTTCTGCCCATGTGGTGCTGAGGAATCAAACCCAGGGCCTCATGCATGCAAGATAAGCACTCTACCACTGAGCCACCTCGCCAACCCTGTGTATTGAATTTGTAAGTCAAACTAACTAACAACAGCCAAAAAGAACATTGACCTCTACAACTCTGCTGTAGAAATGATGGAAAGAGAAAACAGGCAAGATCAAAATCAGTGCCTGGACTGAGTTAGGACACGTCCTAAGGGAAATATGGGAGAAAACTGAAAATTATCTGAGTGCCTATTTCCAGCGTCAATAGCTCCTTTCCACAGGGCTAAGGATCAGGAAATGAGCTTATGTGTATCAGCCTTGAAAGTCTCACAGTGTCACAGCGTTGGTGTTCGGGAGAATTGATTGAAAGGAGTAAAATTCAGCCAGTGAAATATATGACTTACAAAAGCAGCCATTGGAGACAATCTGAGCACCTGTAGCACTTAATTTGATCATTTGTTTTTGGAGCATCTGAAATCTTTGAATTGTAGAGATCAAGAAGATTCTTAAGCTCTTGAACCTTTTAGTTCAACACTTTCTTAGCATCCCTTTCTTTAATCAGGGGTCAGCAAATCATGGCCCAAGTTTGTCCACTGACTATTTAATCAATAAAGTTTTATTGGAACATAGCCTCCTTCATTGCTTTATAGACTGTTGACAGCTAGGTTTGCAATATCACAACAGAATCTAGTGGTTGCAATAGAGACCATTTAGATGCAAAGTCTAACGTATTGATTACTTCATTAAGTATTGATTATGTGATTAAGCATTGATTCGTTTTCAGAAAATGTTTGAAAACCCCCACCTGGAAACATATTTGGTGACTTTGTGGTAATGAGAATGCATGAATATTATTGAAAGAATGAAAACAAATGTTTACAAATAAATCACTCCAACTTCTGCCAGTAACAAAAACAGAAGACAAGATTACATAGAGAAGCAATAATAACATAATCGAAATGAAAGCCCTGCTCAACCTTGCACCGAAGCCTGCTATTTCCCTAGACAAAATTCCTCACTTCACTTGGAAAAGAATTTTTTTTGAGTTAATGCCATCTGATAATTTGTTCCTTAGAAAAGACTGTCAAATGTTCTATAGCGGCAAGAAGATTCTGAGGCTCTGATGTTTTATCAGCATGGGAAAAGTTATTTATAAGTAGCTTTAAACAAAGACTGAGCTGATTACTGAGTTCAAACTAACCTGACCAGCTTCTGAGTACAAGCCAACTTCCTGAGTCTCAAAATGTCCTTTGAAGAAAATGATCCTCTGAAACACTGATATAGAGAACAAGCAGTACTACCATTTTTCTCACAAAAGTTAAAGTTATTTCCCATGGAAAAAAATCAACACTTGGTTCATTTTCATCCCCATTTTTTTCATTCATTCTTCATTCATTCATTTGTACTCTGGGACTGGGGCTTGAACTCAGGGCCTGGGAGCTGTCCATGAGGTCTTTTGCTCAAGGCTAGTACTCCACCACTTTAGTCATAACTCCACTTTCAGCCTTTTTGGTGGTAAGAATCTCACTGACTTTCTTGCCCAGGCTTGCTTTGAACCTTGATCCTCAGATTTCATCCTTTAAATAGCTTAGATTTCAGGTGTGGGCCTCCAACAGCCAAGGGCTTATTTCTGCATTTTATTTTTAGCATTTTGAATTATACCCCTAAATGTGAATCCTCAGAGTCTTTTCAAAGCAAATTTAGATAGCCTAGATGAACCTAAGAGCTAAATATCAACTTCAAATGTCTACTAACAGTAAATAATAATAGTGGGATAGTGCCATTAAAGAATTAAACAATTGTTAAAATTCATATACTTCACACAAATTACAATTACTGCTTTATAAATGAAACTATAAGGAAAACATAAGCATTTTTTTTTCCCAGAGAAAAGGATGTTACTGCTATAAAATAAAATCACATTCTAAAAATCATAATTTTGATGAATTTTTTACCTGATAGAAACTGAGTCTTGGAAATTCAACGATTACCTACTATAATCATTAGTTATCCACATTGGTACCTGATAATCAGTGAGATGAGTACATAATTGCCACTTTCTTGTTTTAACAGTGTCTACAATCTAATCAGTATATGTTGAGATTTAAGAAAAATACCCAGGTCTAAACATGGTGACTCATGAATGTAATACCAGCTACTCTAGAGTCAGAGTTAGGAGAACCATAGTTTGAAGGTAGCATAGGCAAATGTTTGAACTATATATGAACAACTATATATAAACGAACTATATCTAAACAAAAAGAAAAAGAACCAGGGGTTGTGGGTCAAGAGGCATAGCACTTGTTTTAGCAAGCTTGAAGCCCCAACTTCAATCCCCAATAAGCCCCTCCCCCTCAAAAAATAAGAAAAGTAGACTTTCATTTTGGTATTGAAATAACTCTTAAGACTCTCCATTTCTTCCCTTGCCACTCTTCATCCTGGTAGAATGTCATTTTTATTTTTACATCACTAGTTTCTTAATTCTTACTTTATGCAAACAAGTCAGACAGAGATAGATACAGCGTGAAGGGACCTGGCTTGGCAGCTACTGTCATCATCCAGGTAGTGAGAACGGGGACCATCATGGTGACACGAGAAGGAGACAAGGGACCCTGAGCCTGTCTGGCCCTTTCTCTTTTGCCAACTCTTACTAAGGCTCTTCCCCACTTACCTCTCATCTTTCCTTCCATACCCTTCTCAGCAGAATAATCTCTTTGCCTACTGATAATGGAGATGGTTATGTTTCTGCTGAGTTATTCTGGATGGTAGTCATTCAAACTCATGCTACAGAGTTTGGCACTCATTCCTAGTCAGAACTTCATTTCTTAATCCAAAATGTTATTGGAAATATTTGGGGAAAAACCCATAAGTGAGAAATGAGTGGTCAAGTAAATAAGTGAAGACATATAATCTGTCCCTGTCTCTCTCTGTGTCTCTAGCTTTTGATACAGAATAGTAGGAAGATAGGATAGTAAACAAATTAGTAGTAGTAGTAATATGATTACTTTATCCCAGCCAAGGGCTTGAACTCAGGCTCTGGGTACTGTCCCTGAGCTTTTTCTAGCTCAATGCTAGCATTCTACTACATGGGCCACAGACTCATGGGGCTTTCCTGCCTGGCTTCCAACAGTGATCCTCAGGTCTCAGTCTCCTGAATAGCTAGAATGACAGGCATGAGCCACCACCTCCTAGCCAGAAAGCTCTATTTTACTATTGATTAATTTCATTTCTGGTATGAAAACCATGAAGTTGTTTATAAGCAGTTGTTTATAAACAGTTGTCATAGAGAATCTAATAGTTAACACATAGTCAGGCAAGAGTTGTTAAAGGAAGATCATTGTGAGATCAAGATATTATAGAGAAAGACACACAGCAGAGAAATATCTTTAGACAATTAGAAAAATACATGGAGGGAAACAGGCATTTTCCCCTAAGAGCAGGAAGTCAATGGAAAAATGATAATGATGAGCATATGGTAAAGGCAGAAGAAATTGCAGAAGGTATAGGATGAACTATCTTCTGTGATACAGAAGAAATTCTTGCTGACGTGGAGGAAGGAAGGCATAGGGTTAAAGTTTTATGGAGGCTATAAATAGT